TTTTTTTTTTTGCTCATACAAGAAATCTTAACTGAATTGAAATTCCTCCTTTTTACTTGGTTAGACGTCTCCAAATAGACTATATCTGTGAAGATCACAGCCCATATCACAACACAGCCGTGACCAAATAATGCAACCGATAACCTATTTGTGTAATTCTAATTTTTAGAAATCTGTTACTTTTTTCAATAAGTAATGAATCGAACTAAAAGCCTTAACAGAAAGTAACACCATCAAAGTTTTGCAAAGCTTTATTGAACATTGGTTCTCTTGCGTGGAAAATTTGTAGCCTCTAACAACAAAAGGCGGCTATGAAACTTGAATATAAGCCTATAACGTACTTTGTTTATCAATTTATTTCATGTTTCCCTTACAGCCAATTATGCTCATTTTTTTAAGTTAATGAATTCTGTATGTCTGTTCGCCTCAGATCAGTTTTTGCAAGTTTTAAAGTGAGACATCAGGTAAGCTCAAGTGTTTACGAAAAAAACCAGCCTTGGTTTTTCTAGCGCTGTGAGGCTCTAGACAGATTTAAGTTTGTATGCATAAATGCCTATAATCGCTGTTTAAAATGTACTCGCAAAAAGGAAGAAACAAGAAGGAAGAAGGAAATGAAATCAATCAGAATGAACACGGATAAAAACATTTGACAAATCCACCACTGATCAGAGTCAGGAAAATGCTTTTTTTGTCGTAGCTGTCAAAAACAAGATTTAAAGTCAGCTAAGCTGTGCAGGAAGCGCTCCAAAAGTGAAAGAATGAAAACTTAAATTCAGACTTGTTCTACGTCTTATTAAAGAGGAGCTAGACGTTTCTTTAGAAGATTGAAGACAGCATTGAAAGTTTGCAAAAGCACGTAATTGTTGCAGTTCCGCTGGTTGGAAAAGAATAATATTAGAAGATCAGTCTAAGTTCAATTTGAAAAAAGCAGTTGGGAGGATATCTGTAAAAGGAAGAGAAGAAGAGAAATTTTAATTCATATATATATATATATATATATATATATATATATATTTGTATGCATGCAATGGCATTTCAGTTTTTAGAAAAGCATACCAAGCTTCTCCACACGTCGACTTGATACTGATGAGAGAATTTCCAAGACTATGCAACACAAAAAAAATGTTATCATATATCCAGCCATAATCCATGTCGGTATATGTCCATAATTGAACATTAAACCAGTTTTACCAAGTGATACAGATAAGAAGATCGCCACAGCTGAAATAAGCAAAAAATCTCCCTATAAACTTAAAAGGTATAAAAATGTATTTGTGGTTCAACAATACTTGCTCTTTTTAGTTATTTATTATTTGCAAAGACTGCAAAAAACATCCATCGGCTAACATTTCTAGAAATTATATTTATAGACAGGTTTTATTTTGACTGTCATTTTAGTCTTAGAAACTGCCTAGCAGCAGATACAAAAGCAAACCGACATACAAGCGAGAGTCCAGGCCAGCATTCCAAAAAACCAGTGGATCCAGTTGAAAATTGGGCGATATCTAGAATTAGGACCAGGACGAATAAAAGCTAAGAATGGTTGTATTAGGGCAAAACCCATAGCACCGATTCCGTTAATGACATGCATCTTCTTATTCCAATCCTAAATTCAGCTTCTTCTTTCTTTTCATTGGGCAGGATTAACACTCTTTATACTGACAGCAGTTCGTCAAAAAAAAAACAGAATAACAGAAACAAGCAGAAATAATTCAAAACCATAATTCTTGAAAGAGCAAAATATTCTTCAAAACCTGATTTTCTTAGCCAGTTCAATTACCTCTAAAGAACAGGCATAAGAGCACTCGTATAAACGACCAGCTTGATAAATAATCAAAAAAACGGCAACTGCCTGTATAACCACAGAGACTATGTTTAAATCACGGTGAAGCTAAATTTCATATTATTTTAATCATCTCCCTTATCACCCACCATTCATAGAAAAAAGAAGTAAAAGATTGTAAGATTTCAGCTGCATAAATAAACAAACCTGGAACCAAACAGCTGTGCCCAATAGCCTCTGCCCTTGCCATAACGGTTTGAAGTACCGAGCCAACAAAATAGCTGAAGAACCAAGCACCCACCAAGCTAGCAACAGAAAACTTCCTAAAAATTCCTTTCTTGACGACCACTAGATAAACTGTTATTATACAACTCTTGTTACCATTGCACTTACCAATATTTAACTTATAAAAACTAGAAAGCAACAAATTTTAAAAAAAAATTAGCGGCTATACCTTTCAAAGTGTCAAAAAAGTTTTGTAGAAGAAGAAAAGAAAGGAATTACAGTGCAGCCATAAGACAAATATAATACTTTAATTGAAAAAATCTGAGCTGCCTATAAGGAATCAGCTGTTTCAATACAGAGGACCTCACAATGATTAATAGCTCCATCAAAGTTACAGTAAACAGTGATTGATCAAAAACGAAAAACTGAAGAGATTTTTAGTTTTACAGAAATAAGAGTAGTATAAATAAAAAAATGAAATTTTTAAAACCATTTTAATATCTAATAATAAGCGAACTAAGGAAATAAACATACCATGAATGACTGCAAAACGATACCGCCAATATCTGCTTAGGTCTGTCTGCTTCATAGTGCTAATCACCACGAACGGATCAGAGCTGCAGTTGTAGCCACAAAAGTGGATTTTTTGTTCAGAAATCCATGGAAATAAAGGACCATCATTGACAGAATGTATACGTTTCTTAAGACCTGCAAGTAAAATTATTTTTAAAACAGCAATTTGAAAACAGTTCTCAAAAAATAGAAACAGAGGAGAAGTTTATCTCAAAAATAAAAAAACTTACTATAAACATCAGCGTTTCCACGAGCAAATAACAAGTGCCAGAGCCCAGATTCAAGATCAAATACCTGAAGATAATCGTCTTCCAGAAACCTAATTAAAGCACTACAATATTTATAAATTTTATGGACTAATAAATATATCCTTATACAATAAGTTACACTAGTCTACATAAGCTCTTTGGCGATGAAGGCTTCTACCTTAAACTGGTCTTTAGGGTTTACTAGCTGTCTGGCGCTGAACTGCCATTTTACAGAGCATCTTACAGTGCCGTTCTCAACAGCAAAATTCGTGTCATTGATCATTACCGAAGAAGCCTGACAACAGGTTATTTCTTATTATATTAAAGTTATAAAACTGCGTAATTAAAATAAAATAAAACGTTTGTTCACAGTTACTACATGTGTGAACAGGAAGAAAATAACCGTTTTCAACATCACATCATTTTCTTTAAATTAATAACATTGCTTCAGATTCCGAGCTTAATAAACAAATATTAAGACGGCTTCAAACTTTTCTAAAAACTGCTTCTTCAAAGTTGTAGAAACAAAAGAAAGTGCCACCTGATATAACTGTTCGTTGTGAGTCTCATCATTAAATGATATGTAAGCTCTTCCGGAACCGTCAGCTGCAAAAATGCATTCCACGACGCTATCATCACCCTAGAATTAAACTTTCACTCAGTTTTTCACGTTGAGGTGGGCTTTTTCTCCATTCCAAAATGTGTTGAAAACAGCTTAAAATCCTCGGCCCTAATAATCCCACCTCTGATAAAATATATAGAAACTGATCAGCCGCTGGCTTTCATGTATTACCATTCTAAGCTTTTTGCTGTTTTTTTGCGACAAAGTAAATATAATTTCTTTGAGACGCAGCTAAAATGCTGCTAAAACTGAGAAAATAATCCAACATTAATCTTTGAAAAGATTAAGATTGATACCAATTTTATAAATTAATATCTTTTAAATCTCGCTAGAGGAGAGAAGAAAAGAATTGAAAAGCTTGTTGAATTTTTCAGGTACGAAGAACAAATAAATTTTTATAACTGGTACTTCTTCATGCAGATTAATAAGGTATTAATAAGGCTCTTTAAAAAGAAATAAAATTTTACTTGAAAAATTTAGTTGAGTTATTTTTAAGTCAGTGCTTGAAAAGTATTTTTCATCTTTTATAAGATAGGTGTTAATACTTAAAAGCAAAGATTTAAGCGTAAAAGTTGCTCGATAAAGCTATTTAACTGCCAAGTGTAAAAAAAAAGTGCTGAGTGAACAAAAAAAATTAAACCATTCGAGTATCTTTACTGATTCCCACAGATATGTAATGAGCCTCTGCTGGATCCAGGTCTAAAGTTGTGGCCTCAATTTCAAAAAGAACCCCGTCATCCAGTACCGTCCACTGAACTGAACTATCGCAGTCATTAATATGATCCGTTTCACACTGCGGTGGTTGGAACCAGCAACCTTTGCTTGTTCCACAATTTTTGAAACTGAATGCGGTAATTGTCCATATACACTATAAACGTCATTACTGAATAGTCGGTTATCAGATGCTAAATTTTTTTGGATTTTAAACCAAAATAAGTTCATTATTTAACAACTGTAGTCTAATTGCGAACGCGTTATGGAGTTAACTATTGGTATTAATTTCATGAATATACAGTCTGTTTTCTTGACATCTGCAGTGTGATATTTTGAGCAAGTTCATTTGCAAAGAAATCCTTTATATTAATTTAAAAACAAGTGAACATTTCAAAAAGAATAGGTAACTTATGTACCCTTAGCGGCAACTGCTGTACTCAGCGGCGCAAGGCTATTATAGGTTTTGTAAAATCTACAACAGTAGGCAACACTTGAAAGGCTTCGAGTCATTGCGAATATACACTCAGAAAGTGCATAAAACAAGTTCTTCAAAATAATATTGGTGAACAAAAAATAAACTTCTTTGTTTTCTTTTGGTTTTTGATTTTAAAATATATGCTGATTTCTCTAAATATTTATTTAGGCTCCACAATATTACATCATAGTCTGCAGATTCGTTTGAAGTTTAAAATTTTATAAAATTATAATACCGTACAGATGTATAAAGCGTTTGTTTTCGTTTACGGCAAGAAATTTATAAAGAAAGCATGACTGAAAACTTTCGGAGCTGCATCAAGACATCTTCCGTTACTTGTCTTAATGAAACTTTAACTTACGAAATTTCTACACCCACACTTCTAACTCGTTCTATTCCGAAAGTCTTTTTAGGCAGTCTTCCCCCAATTCTCTGCTATCATCTTTAGCAGAATTTTTTGACGAAAAGTTTTCTGCTCTTTTTGAAGTTCAGCAGCTGTCATAGAGAAACAGAAAGAGTTAAGCAAAAAGCAGATATTACAAAGTACGTAACTGCTGAAAATGTAGCACAAAGGATACTGTGCAAACCCATAAAGTCAACCCACTCCGAATATTATCAGCACCTTAATTGTCGTCGACTTCATTATGCTGCCACAAAAAGATTGTCAGTTAATGTTGAGAGCAGTACAAATTTCTTCCAAATTTTCTAAAGGTCATATTGACACAGTGGCTGAAAGCTAAAATTTCTTTCCATCTAAACAGTACTTCAAATTTTTTTTCAATGAAATTCTAAATAATATTTTTAAATTCTTTTTTTTTTTTTTTTTT